CGGCGGTATCGGACGGCGATACTGTTAGAAGCATACCATCCAGGCCGTAACTGAGAAGAACATGTTGCGCATGCGTGCGATACCACTCTTTTCGTGAATCACTTACCGGCCCAAGTCCTCAGCCTTATGAGGAGGCACCACGTTGTGAGACGACGGGGCGACTGGAATCTGAGCAACAAAAAAATGCCTTCCAGAAGATACTTCGATGAGATTGAATTCAAAGCTACTCCCTCTTCCTTACAGCACGTCCCGGACTCCCATTGACCGACGGTTGCTGACTGGCGCTGGACGGAGGCTTTGCTATTCCTGCTGCTGCTGCCGAGAATTGGGATGCGTTCATGAGCAACCTAAAGGGGCCTTAGGAGTAAGGAAGATGTGTGGACCTACTGTTGGACGGCCGAATCGTTGCTGTTGGTACTGTTGAGCAAACGACTGATGTCTGCGTATCCAGCCGGGGTCTGAGGGAGGAACACTACCAACCACGCGGGTAACGTCGTAATAGATGTCAATAAAGGGCAGTAGAAACCTCGGTCGTGTAATGCTACTACTACTACTACTGCTACTACTACTACTACTACTACTACTACTACTACTACTACTACTACTACTACTACTACTACTACTACTACTACCTGTTGAGGAGATCCGCTCATGCCAGGTGGCGGAGGTGGTCGAGAGGCTGACGACTGCTGATAGGCGTGGCTGGTCGACATGTGGGTATTAACAAAGTTGGCGGCTACCAGGAGATGGACGGCCCATTCGATAACACAAATACAGTGGAGACGAAGACGACTCGGAATATGTATCTTCATGGCTGGTATGCAAGATACGGATGAGGTCCGGAAGGAGCCTACCCCTGCCTGTCCTGAGATCAAACATCATAGACCTTCGCGACATGAGCGAGAATCGAACTCGAGACCTTCCGAAAGACGGCAGTGTCCGCATCCAACGGAGCAATCCAGTAGATAATCGAGTAGTACCTCTATCTATCCACAACTAGTCTCGAGTGTTCAACAAACCTACACCCACTAAAGACACAATAATACTACATCGATATCAAAGGTTGACCCATACACAATAGAACCCTTCGCCCCCGAGGTTGGTCTCCGTCACGACCGTTGCCTCAGTTGACGGTATCGGCATCCTGCGAGATGACTATATTGAGCCCCGGTGAGCTTGGTGGTCGGCCAGTGGGTAGAGACGGGCATAATCGCAATCAACGAGGAAAGGATGGAGGATCAAAGACGACTATGTAGCATGGAACCCTACCTGACCTACTTCGTATCTTTCTAGATTGACCTCAAGATTCTCCAGATAGCACGGTACCGCGCTCCGGCGAAGGGCCTTCAAAAGGGATCAGAAACTCCATGAAGATAAAATCATTCAGTCACTAAATGGACCTATTCTGCATCTTCCTAGGTTGAACTTAAGATACCTCAACACAAGTCCAGCTAATAGAAACTAACAGTTCGTGGTAACTAACAAAGGAGTGGTATGGAATCCATACTAAGGATAATAGTGTTTACCAACGGTAATACATATACTACATTCCAAAGAGACTTTCGAAACAACTACACTGAGTACTCGTTAACCAACCATTTCCAGCGCTGCTGTCGATGGCCGACTTGTCGCTCCTCACGAACGAAGCTTGAGACCGTCGATGAAAATATGAGCACAGGAGTAAACAATATTATCAATACACTGATCATGCTGATGGTAACGTAGTCGTAACGAGAGTCTTTAGTCTCCAAGTATCGACTCCCCACAAGATCCACTACAACACAGACAATAACCGCGCTGGTATACGACAGGATTTGATACATTATTGATATCTCAATGGAAATGTGAGGGCGAGAGTTACTACAATCAACCCCACAAAGACGTCTGGCCACCCGAGTGACTAGCAAAAGAGAGAATACAATTCGACACGCATAGAGTGCAGGATTAAGGAAATCTTTGTACGCTAGACCGTAGATGAGGGCCGGCTGAGATACGCAGCAAAAAAACAGCATAATTCGGTCGGTTGACACAGCCTGCTGAGCTGCAAGGCACATCGTGTCCGAGACGTACGCCTTGAATTTTTCAAGATTGCCATACCACTCCTCGATGAGATCAAGTATCATAGCTCGGTCGGAGGGCTCCGTACACTGCACTGTATCAAAGTCTATGTCGGACAAAGAATACCTCATCTTGATCCTCGACGATATGTTCGCTAGGAATACGAATCGAACTCGAATCACACACATGAGGATATCGAATGGGAATTGAAGAGAAGATGGTATCAACGACAAAAACAACCAATAAACCGTAGTAGTTATTAAGCAACGATATATAGTCTTCTGTATCGGCATCATAAACAGCTTCAATGGCCTTTGCTTGCCCATCTTTTCCGATCCTTTCAGAAAGCAAGCCAATTCGAATACACACCAGAGTCGTTGGAAGTAGTCGTCACTCCATAGTAATAGAAACGTGTCGCATTTGTTGAGGTAAGCACCGATGCTTCTGATACCGGCAGCCTTCCTGATGGGATCAACTTGGTCGATACAACAACGGTCGAAGAACACCTTCGCATCACGACGTCTTTGAACTCCGGAAATTTTCAAAGGGATCTCATGCCCCCTCCTCAACAGTGTTATGTAAATAATAATACCAATGATAGTACAGAGGGCGGGGTCCATATCGAACCCCCAAGAGAAAATGATCGAACAAATAGTACTCAAGGCCACCGCCAAGCAAAAGTTAATTCGTAACTGCATGGTCCATACGACCACGTTCGGGTCGGCACTCCATGAATGTGATACGAATTCATCAAGCATTTCCACAGGTTCAGAGAGAGTATACAGTAGTTCACTTTGCCGCCTCCGACGAAAACGATTAGCCTTTTTGTAGTAGAAAGCCTCGCCTCGGTTACTTAGTAGTTTACCGAGCGTTACACCATGTAGAGGTACGAGAGCTTGGGCAGACGGCAAGTTTACCGATGTAGATGACGTTGTACTGGCCTCAGAGTTGAGGTGCTCTAGTGGAGGTGGAGACAAACTGCACTCGTCTTCCATTGTGTGTAGCAATAACTGCAAACACCATCCAATCATCTCCCCTAAATTAAATCCCGAGAACTGTGCTCGACGTAAAAAGCGCTCGCCCGCAATCTCAATTCGGGTTTGGCCGCCAGACTTTGGCGCTGTCACAGGAACCACTTTTGGCTCGATAGTCCAATGCTAAGTGCAGTAGTTATTTTTGTTGTTGTAGCCGACTGCATGTGCAAACTCCGTTTCGCATGAGAATCGGTAACTCTTGTGTTGCAGAGAACTGGCGAACCGGGTTCGGATACGACTCGTATCATACGAGTGGAAAAGATTAACCCATTGATCAGCACAATCGTCGGTTAAACCGTGAAATCGTTGTGAGAATATTCCGGTTTGAAAGAGTGTTGTTTTCGCTCTGCGACGATTTTTGGTCCAGAAACTTGTCAGGAACAGCGTATATAAAACTAGCTGAAAACCCACACGAAAGCTTTTCATGTAAAGATCAGCCTTCTTTCCGCAATCTCATGGAAGATGGAGCAGTGAAAGTTGCAGGAAACCGAAAGGTAAAACCGAGCTCCATGCAAAAGACTCCGCATGTGGCCTCATCAAGTTTTTGTTGAAAATGGCTATTTTGGGGTGCTCGACCTCGGTTAGCCTGGCAAGGCAGTGTAGACCGCAAAAGATGCTTTCAATTGATTGTTGTTGCACCGAGGGAGGTAATACCTCTCTCGACTATTATACTAAATCACTACTATGAATCACTACTCACTAATCATACTATGATATTCCGGCCTCTGCCTAGGAGTTGTCGTAGGGCGTTCATGGCGAGACCATCATCCCCGGCGGCTCGACCTCGAGACTATCCATAAACATGATATTCCTAGTACTCACGGCCAGCCCGGAGAAGTGATTTGACGTAGGATCGAATATTGGTTGTAATGTGCATATGTCACTCTCGAAAACGGCAGCCGGCAATCTATCGAGTCCCAGTGAGTTGCACTCCAAGTTGGGGTGCAACTCACTGCAATGTTTGGTGTTCAGTGCAGTGCACCAGTGCCCCGGCGATGAATCTAAATTGCACGGATAAGCACTAGCTGATGTATGACGTGTTATACGGCGGATACCTGATGTTCAAGCTTCCAGTGAACCTGTCTCTTGTGTTTTGCCTTCACTTTTAAAATTGGTGTAGCCGGAGTACTCTCAATTCTCGCGGGGAGAAACGAGCTTTTACTCCTTATAATGGGGTTATGAGCACTTGCTGAGTAGAGATCGTCAGAAAGTGGCTCTACGACGAGCACAGTTTGCCCGAGCGCAATTTGCGAGGTGAGTTCTAAGACCCGCTCTGTATCTTGTACACTTAAGATCATTACGAAACACCTGGGCGAGCCTGGCTCCCTAAACAGCAAACACTTCCACCACACATGTCAACGAAGCGTACCCAAAAACTAAACATCTATCGCACGCTTTTCAGGTTTATTGCGCTTCGCACTTGTGGCAGTATGTCGGACTAGCGTTAGTGGTTTGTTCTTACGTATACTCAACAATCTGAACAGAGACAGGAAAAGTGCCCACACTGTGAGTCACAGTCTGTGACGAATCTCTGTAGCATATGCTCTCCCCTTACACGCCCAAAAGAACGGATCGCTCTGTCGGGGCACTGGGTAATCTTCCAGGGGCTCCGGCCCAGTTTTTGTCGACCAAGTTGTGTAGTGTGATGCGTTCAAAGTTACTCACACGTTCTAACGCAGATTCGGGGCCCATTTCTGCGAAGATGTTGAACATTAATAAGACACGACGTACTGATCTAAACGAGGGGATTTATGGAGCTCATCAACGCCCGATCACGACCATGGAAAGCCAGCCCACTCGAATGTTTTGTGTCGGGCCTCTATTTTATGTCTCCCGTCTACTCCCCTCACTGACAACACAAATCTCAGAACCCTCCCGCATACACCCCTAGATTCCCACAAAGAACCCATAATTATAGTCTATAGGTTCTTCTACTGGTATAGTATACCAGGTATAGATATACAGAGTCTTCATTGAAGGCAAGTAGTTCCCGCTCAAAGCTGTCTTCGAAGTTGATGTCGAAATATCCCCCATCCATATCGTGCTGCCAGAGCCAGATACACTCCGGTGAAACATCCAACAGAGAAACGTGGGTGAGGAGGTCGGAGTAATCGATACTGTCGACGTCGCTTTCTAGACTCCCAAAAACGTCATGTTTCTCGCGAAATGCAGGTTGCGTTGAGATTAATAGGATTGGATCGGTTACGGCTCCGTCTCGTGTCGCCAAAACTAATGTCGCAACTTTTTAAGTCGGTACGTTTTTAAAGAGACCAGCTATTCCATCAAATTTCTGGGCAATTTGTTAAAACCAGTCGTTAAAAAGTTAAGAGAAAAGAATTTTTCAAAAGACGAGGGCAACTCATCGAAAATTCGGCTAAAATATTAATTTGACCTGGAAATGCTGTCGATTCCATTAATCATTGCATTTGAGTTCACTGATTGATGATATCCGTGGAAAAACTCAGCCGCTCTCGTCACGAGAGTCCCGTGGCAATTCGACAGTCTAAAACGAAACACGAGAGGAGGACAGGACACTAAGTGTCCGACACTTGGATACATGGAAGACATCATCCTTCGTTCTACCACGGAATGGGTTCGTCGATGACAGGTATCGCTCCTTCAATTTCAACGGTGGACTCGGTAGATGGAAAATGATAACTGGCCTGTGTAGAATCCTCACTGATATCTACGGAGGGGAGGCATGTGCCACATGCCATGTGGCGTTCCGCCGGAATCGTTCCGGTCTTTGTGAATAGTCCCCACCAGAAATCTCGAAGCCAGCGTTCACGTATGCCCGTAGAGCGTTGCGGTTTTCAGAGCTCACGTCCATATATACCCACCGGATTCGATGGCTCACACTTCCGATCTGACCAGCATTGGGTTCATGATCACTGAATTTCCAAGTGCGTGCTCAAAAGTATTCAGACGTAGTAGAAGACTGACTCGAAGCCCAGAACTTACATATTCGATTAGCTTAGTCAACATCGTGGGTGCAACCCCCCTACCCTGCCATTCTTCTCGAACACGAACCCAAGGTATGTAGACTTGGTTGGTGCCCTTGATACGACTGAACTCCACAGAGCCTACGACAACCTGAGAGATGCCATTTAATGAAAGCCTTCTTGAGACATACTAAAATCACAGTTGAGTGCCGATTGAATACCACAAGTCCAAGACCTCACATTGTCCTTTGGGTTGACCGCTACGAAAACGGCCGCCTCCGGATTTTCTTTGGGTATTATCAGGATGTCAGATTGAGTAGCCAAGCGGTATTCGAGTTGAGAGACGTCGGGGCTGATGTCCCGATTTGACTTCTGGCTTCCCAATCCTAAAGTGGTAGAGAGCATCAGCGTCATCAGGAGGAGACGGCCGAGCATGTTAGTCATGATTGAGTAGTGGATGCCACAGAGGAGACAACAGGAACTCGCCAGAGCAATGGAGAGCTCGAGATAATATTCCGCGCGAGACTAAGCGGGCGAATGCAGGAGCCGACAGTCTCACGAATGTTTCGTTGGCAGCTTCGGAGTGTAAGATAACGCCGCTACCGTTGAAGGTAGGCCAACTCCCACCGTTGCACCGTTCGCAAAACCTACAGACTCCCGAGGAAAAGCTAACAACAGCGGTGAGCCACTCACTCTTGGAATCCACAGTTTCTCGCCTTTCGAAAGACATGCTCTTTGGTGTCGACAGCGCTGAAATGATGCCAGTATCAGAGGTCCTCCTCAGAAAATATCCTCACTACTGTGTAGGTTGACCTTCACTGAAAACTAACAGATAACCTCGATCAATACAAGTTTCTTTACGGTCACATCTCTCTAAGTATTCAGAGCATTTTTTGTAGAACACAGCCAACTCGCCGGGTGGATCTGATCCACTGGATCACTTGTCATCATCAAATTGATGGCATCAACGGTGAGATGAACTCATCCCAAGCATTTCTTGCAAACTATGAGGATGCCTGTCCACTTCAAGACAGCATACCCAGAGGCTAGCGGAGGCAGTGACTGTGAACAAGGAGCGAACGCCTATAATAAACTGCATGGGAAAGCTGCTGCGTCCAATTAATTTACACTGAACCAGAGAATCCCCTTGTTTTCAACCCTAAGTTGAGAAGAAAACTCTGTTCTATTCAATGGTACTACGACAAATATAGCTCCAGTGGAGTAATACAGACGGCAGTGATGATGTTTATCTACTATGCAAAGTATGAATACAACCACTGCTATCATACTCGATACTGAGTTTATGATGTCACGGGAAGTGAATTCCAGTCAAAACCCCTATAGTAGTGACTAGGTAGCTCTGACAGCTACTTACTGGGGAGCGAAGGAAGAGCAAAGACCGGCACCCTTCTCAGTGGCAGTGGAGGCGACAACAAGGCCGACAATGAGACCGTACAGACCCAAAGCTTCGGCGAAGATAAGAATCAAGATCATACCGACGAAAAGCTTGGGCTGCTGGGCGTTGGCACGGACACCAGAGTCACCGACGATACCAATGGCAAGACCGGCGGCGAGGGAGGAGAGGCCGACAGTGAGACCGGCACCGAGATGGGCATAGCCAGAATACTGAGAGTAGGTGGCGGGAGTATCCATCTTACCGTTGATGATGACGGAAGTGATAAGACCGTAGATACCCAAGACACCGGCCATAACGACAGGGATGATTGATCGCATGACGAGGTCGGGTCTCATAACACCCATGGAGCAAATACCAACACCGGACTTAGCAGTACCTAGTGAAAATAATGATGATCAGCTACTAAAAGTGGATAGTAGTAATAGACTACTAGAAGGGTAGTAGTATACTTACCGTATGCGGCTCCGAGATTGGCAAAGCTGATAGCAGCAGTGATACCCATGAAGCCGAAGAAGGCAGAACTGGGCTCACAGGCGGCGAGGGCGGTCGAAGCAGCGAACATTACGAGATGGACAGGTACTTACTAATCGAAACTAACAGAACATAAATCACCAACACATACACAGTAGACAAGTGGAATGAGAATGTAAATGCTAACATACGACAGCGCGACTCGGCGCCCTTCGGCGCATCCCTTGAGCGCAGCTTTAGCTAGCGAAGCCGATGCCCCTCATTAGCCAACCAACGCTTCAACACCTCCCAACACCCCTTAAAATGTCACGAGTAATGCAATCACTAGGATTAGAGAGGATATTGCCCAAGGGCAATTGAGCAATGGCTCATTTTGGAATAGATACACTGAGCTTAGAACAGCCAGGCCCATGGACACTAAGCGTTGATCAGCCCAATGTGTGACGCTGTCCCATCTTCAGTAGGGGTCCGTAGTAGACCCCAGCAGTATAGGAAAAGCCTCCTGTTGACGTCCACATGATAATAAATACTAATGTGAACCCCAAGGCGATTTCCCATCATCAAGAACATCGAATCTGAATAGTGCTGATTCACATAGACCAAGACACGGGTTTAACGAGCAGAGTAGCTCGTTTTAGCGCATCTCCATCAAAACTTCGCTGCTTCTCGAACGTATCGGTCGACCTTCCTCCTCACGACAAAACGAGCCGAGGAAAGGGGTAGCTCGAAACATAATACTCATCACAGGCTGATCCACCTGTTATCACAACAACACACGATTTCGCCTGTTGTGTCGCCACAGCAGGCATAAATCTGCAGCATTTGAGCTTGTTGGTGCCTTTATGCTCACATCAATACTTTCATGATGTACCGAAGCCACTCTATCACAAGGGATGAGACAGTAAAGCAGCACCCGCTTCGTATAAAGCCAATGGGAGACAATATCGATGCAGTCGATTCGGTAGTGAATGTAGCGATCGAAAATCTCAATTGAGAGTATTTGCCAAGCTGAACAGCATTGAAGAATTTGCTCACTTGCATCGGCTGAAACCAGAGATTTCCTCAAGAGTAGGTGTCCACTTACGAATTCGGGGAGAAATGTACAGATGCCAGAGAAAATTCATTAAAATCTCCTCAAAACCCCCTTATTGTTACCACCACACGTAGTTCACCATGTGCATATCTTAACACACGGAAATTGATCTTCCTAGTATCAATTCTCGAGCTAAATCAACGCCTATACTAACATAGTCCATTGAATTCAAACATATAATCGAACTCAACAACAGTGACTCGAGTAAGGAAGTAGATGGTTCACGGTACAAGTTTTGGAGAAAAAGGCTTCCACCACAATGTCGCTACGATGATGATATGAGAACTGTCGTACTATGACTAGCAGCATCAGAATCGGCACCAGTATACAACAAACGATAACGTCTTAATCTTCCTCCTCTACTGCTGAACGAACCATCATTCTGATTACCATCTAACGACGACAACATCGACAACGGTCACTCCGCTACGAAGCAATAGTGTGATAAAAATACAGAGAAAATCCAATATGGATTGGGAACGCGTACTAGTCGCAGTAGCACTCTATCGCCTTTTTCTCACACGACAATAACCATCGAAGGAAATCATCACTGGAATCAATGGTATCAGTTTACTGGGGAGCGAAGGAAGAGCAAAGACCGGCACCCTTCTCAGTGGCAGTGGAGGCGACAACAAGGCCGACAATGAGACCGTACAGACCCAAAGCTTCAGCGAAGATAAGAATCAAGATCATACCGACGAAAAGCTTGGGCTGCTGGGCGTTGGCACGGACACCAGAGTCACCGACGATACCAATGGCAAGACCGGCGGCGAGGGAAGAGAGGCCGACAGTGAGACCGGCACCGAGATGGGCATAGCCAGAATACTGAGAGTAGGTGGCGGGAGTATCCATCTTACCGTTGATGATGACGGAAGTGATAAGACCGTAGATACCCAAGACACCGGCCATAACGACAGGGATGATTGATCGCATGACGAGGTCGGGTCTCATAACACCCATGGAGCAAATACCAACACCGGACTTAGCAGTACCTAGTAAGAATAATGATGATCAGCTAAAGGTAGTAATAGACTACTAGAAGGGTAGTAGTATACTTACCGTATGCGGCTCCGAGATTGGCAAAGCTGATAGCAGCAGTGATACCCATGAAGCCGAAGAAGGCAGAACTGGGCTCACAGGCGGCGAGGGCGGTCGAAGCAGCGAACATTACTTGAAAAGTCGGGTAAGTTTAACTCACTTATACAACCACAAATCAATCACTCATTTAAGCTTCCAGTCAAGAAAGGCCCTTCACAATTAACCACGTAGAGAATCAACCTTCTACTTCAATGACGATAAGATCGATAGATCCACGAAGCAGTTAGATGGAAGCCCCGAGAACAAGGCTAAATGATGAATGCGATGTGATGGACCACCGCCAACTTGCGAAGTGCTCAGCTTCCCGAAGCGCAAGAACGGCTAAATAGGAAACTGCAAGATGGCAAGATTTCAAGTGAGAAATTACACGCTGATCAATTACAGGACGGTAGTGTCGTTGATCGATTTGGGCACAACATGCCACCTTTGGGCCTATTCTGTATCTTTCACAGGCAACCTCAGGATCCCTCATCCTCCGTGCGGCGTAATTCCGATTCTCCACTTTATGAACTCAACACACGTGAAAACATTGAACACCTTTATACTGGGGAATAGACCCCCCTTATGATTGTATACACTTCATGCCATCACACCATTGATGAGACTCCTTCTACGTAAGCTAGCATGAGCACCTGCGAGTGACGACAAGTGTCCTCTACCACACACATTCTTATCGTTACTCTCTAAATAATCGTCTGAGGCCTCCCCACGCAGCCATTCATGTTCGAGAGCCTCACGAGCACTCAGTCTCTTAGTCGGCTCGGCTGTCTGACCAGATTGCCAATAAAAGCAACACTAAGATGTGTCTCTCACCAGGAGCTTCTTGGTGAGATCTTTTGCGGACTTGGTGGCCTCCTTCCACTCGGGATCAGTAAAGGAAGGACGAGCATCTTGAATAGCCGCGTACAACTCTTCCTCCTGACCGACGAAAGTCCAACCTCGACCACGAATGACGGACCCTACAGTATCGGCATCAAAAGGCTCGAGGCCACTCAACAGCTCATACAAGACGCAACCAACACTCCACATGTCGGCTTGAGGACCATATCTAAGATGACGAATTCACACGATCCACCACCACTGAGGGTATATCTCTTACTGAGCACGCTTCCTCGCGACCTCAGGTGCCATACACAGAGGAGTGCCACAGAAAGGTTCGTGTATTTCCGTACAGTTCTGAAAAGAAGAGGATGGTAGACCTACTGGATCAATCCGGCTGAATCCCCACCTTCAATTTTATGCTGTCACGTGCTTCAAACTTCTTGCCGAGAACGTAACTGGGATAATTGATGATACCAAAGCCCGGCCGAGCAGTGGAGGGGGGGGCTCACCTGAGTCCAAAATCGGCGATCTTCACCTGTGCCTGCTGGGACTTCTCAGATAAAAGCAAGTTTTCTAACTTCAAATCGCGATGGACAACGCCCATACTGTGGATGTAATGCACTCCAGAGAGAACCTGATCGACGGCAGTGTGACGAGGGGGTCTTCATGAAGGGCTAGTGCGAAGAAATATGCATATGGTCAACTACATGTGTTGGTGACAGTATGGAAATTTTGAGGGGAATTCTCAATTGGCTTCTTACCGCTCTACCCGAATTTATTTCTAAATTTCTGTAATTAGGAAGGAAACTCCCGGGCTCAGCTGGGGAAAGCGAGCATATATTCCTCCAACACTGCGGGAAGCTGATACCTGTTTTATCGCACGAGCGGCGAGCTGCTCTGAGAAGTGATCAGACTCCGCGAACAGATCGGCAATCTGAGCACATCATAGAGGCTATGCGGCGGTCTTGGTGTTCCCTCACTTGTCCACCATGCATGTACTCCATAACCAGCCATATGCACTGATTGGTCTCGAACAGTTCATGCCTGATAATCGGGAAGGTCTCCAAAATGGCAGCGACCATCGACGAGTTACAAGTTGACGAGATTTGCGTGCTTCATTCGTTTAAGACAGTCGATTTCTATCCCCATAGATTCCTCGTCATTCATCTTATCATTCTTCTCCACGACCTGAAATTTCCCTTCCCCTTTTCGTTGAATCGACTCTCGCTTTACCTTCAACGCGAAAGTGCCGCCCTCAATCTTATTGTCAACTTTATACACTCGACCGCTAGCTCCCTTGCCAATCTCTTCAATAACTTTGTAGTTGGACCTTCGCAATCGGCGATACGCCAACTTTTCCATACCACTCCATTCAACTCACTTGATCACTCTCTCAAGAGCTGCATGATGAAGATCAACGCCTCTTCGCTCCAGCTCGGCTATGAGGGCCGAGTCGGGCAGTGATCTCAGTAACGCCCTGACACCATTGAAATTACACAAGTACAGGAATTGATTAAGGAATGTACTCAGCATGATTGGCTGAAGGGGCACCCTGAGCAGTGGGGGACTGTGCTTGGTAGTATCTGAATACAAGCTCCCTATCACGAGCAAGTGTCGGGAACTGTTGGAAGAACCTACCCGTGTGCAGGGGGCGCCGGTCCAAGCCCGTACCCGACGGCACCAGCCTTGATGCCGTAAGGTGAAGCGACCTGTGGATGAGGGTTGTGGTGAGCACCGAAGATATGTTGCATGGATGAGAAGCAAACTGCTGAGAATGTAATGTAACTATATTGTTCTACCATTGCTATCACCAGGCCCTGTGGCGCAACGGTAGCGCATCTGACTCCAGATCAGAAGGTTGTCCGTTCGAATCGGGCCGGGGTCAATATTACGACTAATATATTTCTCGATGCACAACATAGTACCGATTTGGAAATATCCACCTCAGGGGTGAAATACAGGCCCCAAGGGAAAAGCTAAATCGAACTCGTTGAATCGCAGTTGGAAAGCCTAAAGCCCATCCGGAAATCTCACAAAGCAACCAGGCCACCCAATTCAAGTTCTGGAAGGCAATACACCCTGAACCCCCGAAGCTCCTCAGAATGTACCCCGATCCCTTGGAATTTGTAATCCATCCCGATCTCGGGCAACATGCCATCCCCCCAACCGAACAGCGAACACTTCCTATAACCAACGCAACCGGTAGCTCCTGTCATCGAGACGCCCTATGGTGTATCCATAACTATATAACGTTAGCATCCTTAGCCATATTGAACCCACCGCGTCTATTCATGTACCTAAGCCACGCCATAGAACCTGCAAATAGTTCAATAGTCACTATTACTGTCGGTAAGGCCGATCATAATTAGTGATCTTCTTAGCACCAGGGTGGGAGTACTTCGCATTCTCCCTCCCCTACAACAACATACCTGCTCGCTACCACTGACCAGGACATGCCCACCTTGGTCGTATTGAAACCCTTGAAACCCATGACCCGCATTAACTCGTTCATGTCGCTTTGTCGAGGAGCAACCTGTCGAACGTGACTCAATCAGATGTACCCTCTACCCACCACTACCTCATAGTCCTCATCTTCCTCTTCCTCCTCCTCCTCATCATCTTTTCCCTGTTGGCCCTTCGACCGCCCAGACTCCTCATAATCATCAAAGTCCTCCCTATTATCCCGCTTCCCGGTCTTCTTGTTGTTGCGGGCAGCCCCTATGGGGTGTTGCCGGTCGAGCTCAGCAAATTCGCGGAGCTCAGCGAACTCCTCTTCATCGTAATCGTCTCGAGCACCACGACGGGTATCCTATTACAACCAGTGGTATACCACTCTCGATAGAATCTTCGCTGTGCGCACGAACATCAAAAGATTCCTCAAGATACCCCATATACTACTACCCTCCGCGACTCCGATCTGGACCTAGACCTCGACGATGAATAGGATCTCGACCGGGACCGGGAAGACCCTAAAAGACATGAGCGAATCTCATACCATCTTTGTTCTATTACGACGATCATAACTCCTCCCACGCGATCTCTTATTTGAGGCTGGAGACACCGAACGATGAGCTGCTGAGGACCTCTTCCTTCCCATTAAGACACTTACCACTAAGGATGAGCACAAAAGCCCTATATAATAACAATATAAAAATCACTATAACGAATTGTTCAATAAAATCCTCTATCTATCAATAGTGAGAGAGCATCACCGAAACTACCCCTGTTCTGATCGTCTCTCGTGGGTGCCTAGAAATCTTGCTCATCTTGAAAATCTTGCATTTCCTCAACGCTCGACAATTGCCTGTTGACTTCGTAGGTTGATTCTGCGTGTGGCTGAGATATTCTCGAAAGAGCAACAGTACTGATCTGTGTTGGGGGGGGAGTGGGCACGTGGACAAACACATGTGTTGGTGGTAAATTCTGAGGAAATTTTGGGAAATTTTTGGTGGTTTCTGTACACTTCTACTCAAAAATTGAAAGTAAACTAGTATAGTGAGGAAACTCCTGAGCTCAGGTGAGGAAAGCGAACATATATTCCTCCAATACTGGTGCTGGGAATCTTGGAGAATCTTTTTCCCCGTATCTTTCGTGGTCATCCTCATCAGCGCAAGATACTTTCGAGTTGTAGTTGCTTTCATCATTTTGTATTTTCTCATGAACTACGCAAAGTCGGCACTATCGTACTTCACATTGAAGCGATGTTACAAGTGGGCCTAATTCGTATCTTACCAAAGTCGACCTTGGATATCTTTACAGATATCTTTTGAAGCGACTATTTGGCAGTTTTATAGTGCATGAAGATATCAATCTCGATCAACTCGAAGTTGATCTGTATCAAGGTCAAGTAAAATTGGAGAACATACATTTGCAGACGGATAAAATCAATGACGTAATACGGAGCGTGTTTAGGGTGAAGGTATTATATTTATATCTACGATGCACTATATATGAAATTTTGTATTATGGATGATATACAGTGCGTGTCAATTTGATATGCACATGCACGTTATTTTCGAGGACGCTTTATAGTGAAGTTTCACCACCCTAGTGAAATATATTTCACGACTACTGCATATCACCGCGAATATCATCGCGTTTTTCACAGAGTATTACGCCACTTCACGTAAAACGGATCGTGAAACTCCGATATTTGCAGTTGTCGCTATCACAGTCCCAAACGGGTACTTTCATCACAACACATGTTGCATTGTATATGCGAATATAGTTTCATAGCATCGGGAATAACACACATTCACATCACATCAAATTGGCACACACTGTAAAGATCCTTTATTTCTGAATGAACTACTAGAGATGATTATATCATCCAAGTTTCGATCGATATAGATAAAGTGCCGTGAAAACGACGCATACAAAAGATATTTTTCATGCCACACCAATGCTTCATCAGATTCTGTCATCTCTCGAGTTACCATTCACGATGGTGAAGGGCACAATTAAACGAGTAGGCGGAGCGAAGCGAAAGGGCGGTTATTATTGTTGATGATATCAGATACACCTCTCAGTGCCGTGGAAACACGTATTCTCCCAAAGGTGTAAAATATATTTCGAAGGCGTGGATATACATTTGGCAGTGCGTGAGGATGCTACGATGGATCGAACAGGTAGGATCGTTGCTGCATAAATTGGTAGAAAAATCGGTAAATTCTGTGATTTATATTCTAATGGAGTTGGGGGATATTATATAGAATCGTCGTGTACTGAAATGAACGAGGATAGTGATGATGATGACGGGTTTAATGGTTGCCGAAATTCTCATCTCTTTAAATTGGATCTGTGTGTGATTTGAACTTGCGCACTTTTCATTCATCTGTATGAGATCCCAGCCGCGTACCGTGTCACCATTTTATCCATGAGTGCTAGTGTGCTCACTTCAGACCTCAGTCAGAGTAGTGAGATGGATGAGCGTCGGGGAGCAGTAGGAGGCCTCGAGCAGTACGGCACGAGGTCCTTTATGGAGGCAGTGGAAGAGAGCCATGTGCGATGAAGAGGGAGGCTCGCTTTGGGGAATAAAATTCAATTTATAATTTCCTGAGGAGCGTTTGTGTTCGGGTGAATAGCGATGTTATAGGGCCAGAGCATTCTATTGGAGAAAAGGAGTTTCATCGCAAACATGGGGAAAGAAATTTGGAGGTGTGCGAGATAGCATTAGCTCGATGGGGAAAAACTGGTGGTTTGCGAAACGTTGTGTGCGTATTTATAGGTAAATTTTTTACATTGTGGGAATATGTGTTCACTTTCTTCAGCTGCTGAGCTCAGGAGCTTCTCCACTAATTATAGGAGTTCATATACGAATTTGGGTAGAAGTGTACAGAAACCAGTAGTAAAATTAAAAAATTCCCCAGAATTTCCAGATTGTCACTAACACGTGCATGTTTTCCCACACTACTTTTTAGTACTATAGTCGGTTCTACTTCAGCTGAGCTGTCAATAGCGTGCCCTCATCAGGTTCCCGATGGAGTAGAGGCTCTCACTAGGTTGGTACAACACATACTGGTGAATCTAGAAGCATGCTTGTCGGATGCTACCGTAACTCTTCACCCTAGGGGTTGGCAACCTGGGAGTAGCACGACCGAGCCGAAGGTGTGGGTGTTGATACGGGAGGTAGCTTTAACGTATTAGAGAAATTCCGAACGGGTCTGAGCTCAGTTGTTGATATATTCGGATACTGAGATGCATCATTTGCCTGATGCCAGTCCGAGACCTGCTAGTGAGTCTGATGAGGGACTGGAGGAGTTGCCGACTTCACCGATCGATTCGAAAGGTAGTGGAAGGATTCTCGAGATGGTTGGATGTGTGTGAAGGTATGAGTCTTCTGTCGTTGGAGATTTTCGTGGCGCGTGACGGTGATGGCTCGGCTGAGAAGAGGCTCCTACACACAGGGGGGAGGCCCCTTCGGATGGGGTTGAGGAGAGTCGTGGATGACTCGACTGAGGGAGGGTGGAGCGATGAAGAGCAGACGGCGGTGTTGGAGATTGAGATCGAGGTGAATTGATAATCGATCAGCTGGGCGAGCGCTTTTTACAAGGGCTTTAGGTGGAAGTAGTGGAGGTTGACTTGGATAATAGTTCGTTGGAGCATGTGCTTCAAGTTATGTATGGTGGTGTGAATTGTGATGGAAAATCGGAGGAAGATGAGGCGGAGCGAAACCGCATGTTTTATAGTGTGAGTTGAAATGCAGTCGGTGGGGATCGATCCGGGGACCTCTGGATGTAGGTTATGGAGACTACCCCGCCTCCCGCTCGGTCATTATCGGCGGCGGAAAGGGCGAGAGCGTTCTGGTGAGACGATGGTTCGTTGTGGTATATTTTTCTGGAAAAATGACACCCCCTAGAATCGAACCGGGGATCTCCGCGTTGTATGGTTTTCTGGATGCGCAGATTCCAGAAAAGGTTTTCATGGTGTCAATTCCTAGGAGTTGCACGAAATTTTAATGCTCTTATGAGCTTGGAATTCACGAGGGAAAATATCTTTGCAAGGATGCGAACCTGAGACCTTCAGGTTGGAAATGTATCGATTGTTCGATCTGGACTCCAAGTTGGAGGCTCTTTGCACGGCAGAGGAGGAAGGGGAGGAGAGTCGAATGATGGGCAGCAGTAGTGGCTTCCGAGCCGATGAGTCCCTACAGGGTGAGGGGGAGGGGCCATTTCGTGGCGAGTGACGGAAGGCTTTAAAAAACCAACTGTGGGATTGTCCATTTTGAAATTACATGCTCGCTGTCGTGATGGGTAGTACTCTGGTACGCTAGAGATGACTGTATGGGATGATGACGCCAGTCGTCTTGATAATCGATCACGTGATCGATTTGGTATAATCTGATCTCGGTGGATACTTTTAAAATTGCTCAGCGTATATTCCAGTGCAACATTCACTTAATCCCTGCGTATCTGATGGGTACAAATGAGCATCAGCGCTTCTTCTCCATTCAGAGTTAGCTGCCATCACAACGCCCGATGAGGAATTCTGGTTTGATCAAATTCTCCTCCGGTTGCGAGTTGGAGTCGTCCACATAGGAGCTGACTTGTGGTCAACACCCGAGTCGGGTACTGTCCTACTAGGTGACGTTATGAGGTCTGCGTATTGCATTCGAGTGTATGTTGCAGCTACTCTCGCTTCTATTTCTGTGGAGCGTTCGTGGGCACCATCGGGAGAGACGGAGGCCGTACCAAGTTCACATTGTGGCTTGTCCAGCTGGAGTGTTGGTATAGCACCAACGAACTGGAAGGTGGGGGTCGACTGGATGCTGGTGAGCTTTCATGGAGTTGTCAGTCACCGTCGCTGAGCTCATCGTCACCTTTGGAGAGGTCCACGTCGTTCTATTCTGCAGAGCATGAGGGAAGTGCCGCCACTAAGGTGGGTTGATTGTTGTAGCAGGTTGGATAATGCAGGATGGCACTGAGTTTGGGACGCGTTCGGGGTGTCCATAGCATGATCTCGAAATCTTCCCTGTGCGTGTAGGATTCTTCCCCGACAAGCTCATCGTATTCGTCCCCAGCGAGCATCGGCGTGCGGTCGTCGGGTTCGCCAGCACCAGCAGGTGGCGTTGAGGAAGTTTTCTTTGACCGGAGAGGTATACATCATTTAGTGGAGGAGCACAGTAGGCTGTTAGAAGAGCAAGGTAGGACGGGGCTTATGATGGTGAGGACGAGTTCATATTCTTGAGATGATGTGGAGGGCGAGAGGAATGGAAATGCATGATAGATGGGAATTGGAGGAAATAAATTTTAGTGGGTGAATAGAAGGGCGCGCCCGGATTTGAACCGAGGACCTGCTGATCTGCAGTCAGCCGCTCTACCACTGAGCTACACACCCTTGTGGAGCTCAATGCACCCATTCATCGCGTATGTATGCGTCCTCTACGCACATTTTTGAATGTCATCCTCTGCCAGCCTTCGGACTCATCCTTCATTAGCTCTCCGTTTTTTTCAGAGGATCTCCCGACAGCTCCCACGAGGTGGTCCAAAATCATCTGGTGTGATGCAGATGCAGTCCTCGTCAAAGCAGGACGGGTGGGTGCTAACACCCAATGATGATGATGCCTGACGGTGCCACTTTAGGGATCCACTTCTGAAGGTGTATTAGGCGCCATTGAAATTGAAGTGGATGCGGAGGTTGTGTGTAAATTGATGGACCTCAAGTGGCCAGAGCTCCCGACCCGAACGGAGGCTGAAGGAGGGGGTGGAGGGCCAGCAGCCGCAGCCGCAGCCGCCGGCGCCGGCGGTCCATCCAGTCACTGTGGTGAGTTCTTGATTCCTATTTTCCTTTGGAACTTCATAACTCTCGATCAGGCGGCGTGGCCTTTTCGAACGAAGAGTGTGTCAGTGAGTTTGAAGCTGAAGGACCCTTCAAAGGAGGAGGAAGAGGAGGAGCCTTCGTATTGTTTGCGCACAGTGAAGGTTTTCGTCTCCCATCTAGTAGTGGAGAGGAATATGTGTCGGATTGGGGAGCTTGCGGTCTTGGACTGTGAGGGTGAGATTCCGATCGTTCACTTAGAGAATAGAGCACTCTGACTAGGTGGTGATCGCACGGTGCTGTTGGAGACCCCAAGGGCATCATCCGGGGAGGCAGCAGTGGCCTCATTGACTTTATGGCGAGTTCAGTCCGACACCACTGGTAGTGATACAGGAAGGATCGTCGTTGGATTCTGGTAGATCTTCGGTGTATCGTGTCATCAGCGTAGCCATGAGCATGGCATTGCTCACTTCCTTTCAGCGGACGCTCACCTCCCATCGACTCAGGGGACTCGACTCGAATTGCAGCTCATCCTGCCGAGCCTGTCCTCTCCCTCGCCCTGGCATGCTAGTCGAATAGGCGCCCTGGCGAGGTGTTTGATCGCCTTCGCTGAGAGCACACCCGAGCCGCCTCCCTCCGACGCCCGGGAGCCTCTCGAAACTGCGGTGTCGGTCTACATTGATCGATTAGCCATATCGCTAGGAGGTGGAGAGTCGGAACTTGACTTCTCCTTCCGGATGTGTTCGCTATACGTCACTCCGACGCCCACTGGGAAGCACTGCACTGTAGAGGCAGGGGAGATGTATGTCGGCTCGGTGTTGCGGCCATGGGTATTGCGGGATCTCGAGATGGCTAGCAAGTAGGATGGGTCGGAGAAAGGGAGGGAGGCGATGAGGTGGAATCGCTCAGGTTCCCGAATTCATGCGAAATTGAGAGCCTCGTAGGGCACTCGCGTGTTACACCATCCCTAAAGATAGAGCTGGACCTTCCGGATCGATCAGGAGTCGTTGAGAATGGACGGGTTATCATCACATTGAAACGTAAGAGCCTTGCTCGGGGTCGCAGATGGTGATGGAGTGGCTGCTAATAAATTGGCACTAATTAGTACTATCGGAATTCGGGTTGTGAAGGGTCTCGTTTTATGATCATGGGTGTGCGATACAGTAATCGCTCTCAACACAGGGCGTGGTTGGCAGGTATGCAGGGCGGGGGTAGGGTTGATGAGGTCTCGGCTTTGGCGGCGGGGATGGAGGGATTTGTGGAGGAAGTGGCGGCTGAGGTGGCGTTGGGGAGAGAGGAGGTGGAGGGGACAGAAGGAGCGGCAGTGTTTTATTTGCTGGTGGAGGATTGCCTTGTTGAGGGAAGTAAGGTTGGTGTGTATGTGGAATTGTGGTGTAGTGGTATAATTCGCGTTTAGGATGCGTGAGGTATCGGGTTCAATTCGCGGTCGAGCCTTTTTTGTTCAGGCACACTCGATGCTGCTGGCCTCCTCAACCCTCCAGACCCCTCTATCGAATGCCGAGATGTGAGGGCAGCAATCACCTTCACCGGGGAGGCGGCCCTTCCTTCCCTCCCACCCAATGCCTCCACACGGACCGTGAAGGTCCACATCGCCGAGACGGCCCTTTGGCTGCTGGATGGAGGCGGATCCAAACTTGACCAGGAACTGGTGAGCTTCATCACGGCATTGCGGAGTTTGCGCATTTCCTTTCTATTTTCTACTGTGTGGTCGCACAGGTCCTCCCTTCACAGTCTTCAACCTCGGCTGGAGGTCTTTTGAAGGAGGTTGGTTTTGCCCAGATAGCAGCAGCGAAGGGTGTGACTGTGATGGTGACAACCCCAGTGGCCCAAGACGCCCACTTGAGGGCTCGAATAGCATTGGATGTTCATCACCTACAGGGTGAGGGAACTTACCGCTCGAATCGCTGAATATCGATCGTTTCGACCGGTTGGTCAGTGTTGTTGGCCGTCTTCGAAGGGTGTGATATTCTATCTGTGCGGTGGATTGTCACTAAATTTTATCATCATGAATTGTGATATTTTTTTGTCGTAAAGATCATCACAATCTTGATCTCGAGAGTTGTCTTTTGTAATGTTCAGTGGGCTTGTGCGCCGACTCCCTAGCCAGTGTGAGTTCTCTCACTACGTGGTTGTCGTCATCGCTTCAACTACAACCGCCCGCCTCCCCGGCCACGACAAGCGATCCTTTGGTATCCTCCAGAGAGGAGTGTGAGGAGGCCCCTCCACCCGACAGAGCGGTAGGTCGACGTGTGATGTGACCCTGCCCACTCCGTTTGTTTTGTGGTAGGGTCCGCGTCTATGCGTTATTGAGGACTTTGATGACAGTGGGATCCCCTCTCCAGTGACAGCCATGGAGCCGCTCTCTGCTGTCGAGGAGGAGGAGGTTAGTGTGTGGGGGCGAGAGGAATGTGGTGATGGTGGCGGTCTTGAAGTAAGCTGCTATTGATGAGAGCGGTGGTCATAACTGTCGATTCAGCGAGAAGGCACCACACCTCTGCCGTTGTCGTCGTCATTGAGGAGGGAGACGCTTGACTGTTATGGAGGAGTGGAGACCAGCGCGACTTGGTTCGCCCCTATGGATGGTGCCACTATCATTGGCGACCATTTTGCTGGGACCGGGGGGTAGGTGGGGGAGGAGGACCGATGGGGAGGAGAATTTCGCAGGGCATTGAGGAGCTCGCCTTCTTCTGGAGTGACGACTCCTGGGTCGCAACGGACGGTTTTGGAGGGCCTCGAGGTGCGTGTGACGGCATCGGTGATTGAGTTGAAACTGTTCGAGGGGAAGGACTGGAGTGAAAGGCCGAGTAGAAGGGGATGGGGGCTAGTTGGTGGGGTATCTTGAGGTTGCCCAGGTAAGATACCAATCATGTCCACTTCGAACCAAATTCGGATATCAACCAGAGCGAAGAGAGCTACGATTTGTACCAAATTGGAGGAGGTGAGTGATGACTTGAAATCTTAGTAAATCTTGCATTTCCCCAACGCATCAGGTTGGCATCACCATGATAACGAAACCGACATCGTCGTCGACAGTGGGTGGTCGTCAGAGTTCGGTTTGGTTGTCCATTGGAGACATCAGCATCATCGACCTCCTGCCGAGCAGTGTGTATCAATACGTATTGGTTTACTATGAGGGAAGCGAAGGAGATCGGCCAAAAGGGACGAACGTGTCTATGGTAGGGACTATTTGAGATCATATGTGAATTTTGGGGAATTTTCTGAGATTAGGGGTGAACTTAGGGAAATTTTTCGAAAAAAGAAGTGAATTTACGGGAATTTCTTGAGATGAGGGGCGAATCTAAGGGGAGTAATTATCAAAATGTCACTTTGGGGGGCGTCTATGGACGTTGAGGGCTTTCGAGCGTATCATTTTTAGGAGAGTAGGAAATACGTTTGAAACGCAACTTTTGGTGCTTGTCGATAATCTGCGAAGTGGAAACTCGCGATAGCGTTGGTAAATTATCGCTGAAAAATATTTCCCCATTGTAAGAAATTTTTCGGCAAAAGACTCCGATAAGAGAATCTTTAGCACGCGTGCGCAGTAGCGCACGGGGAAGATTTTGTGATATGTCACTTTCGAGCAGGTGCTCCTACGATACGACAGCTCCCCGGGGGGTCATAACAGGGAGGGTACCCAAATCGCCCACTCGAGATTGGAGATCTCTATATTGCCACTCCGCCTCACGCTGGACCAGGACACAGTACACTGGATGGATACTTTCGTAGGGCGACGTGGCTGTTGGTGATGAAAGTTGTTGTTGATATCATTTAGGCGGATACTGTGAATATGTACGTGTATGCTGCGATGGACATGGATGCTGAGTTGTTTGAGGAGGGAGGAGTTGAAGGAATTGTGGTAGGCGGGAGGATGGATGATGTGGGTATTGGTAAATCGATCACGTGATCGATTTTGACGATTGGTTTGGTTTCCTCACTTGAGCTCAGAAGCTACATTATGAAAATTTACGCAAAAAACCGACGAGAATTTCCCGAAATTTTCTTGTTTTTTCTCATTGTCATCTACACGCGTAGTTGACGATGTGCTTATCTGACCACACTTCTTCGAAATCGGTATATGTATTGGCAAATCGATCACGTGATCGATTTCAAATGTGTTCCATATTTCAGCAGCCTACAGCTCCTTCGACGGCTCACCAGCAGCCTTCAGCGCCCCCCGGCGTGCTGTTGGACTCTGTGAAAATCTCGGAAATGCTCGTGTGTATCGACTACCGATGCAAACGGGTTAATTTGAAACGCCTCCGTAGAGGAGAGCGAGCCGAGCTGATCAATCTGTTGCCTATTCTGGAAGGCCTGGAGGTGGGAAATCTTGCAATCTTGCATTTCCTCAACGCTGATGAGTCGGCAGGTGAAGTTTCGGTCGACCCATCTGCAGGGTATTCGTAGTGCATCACAGCTGAGTGAGGCGTTGATTGAGCGATGGAAGGGAGATATGTCGAAAGCGCAGATGTTGAGGTATAAGGCCATGAAAAATTCGGGAAATTTTCGGTATTTCGTGAATATTTTTCTACCTGAATTTGTATGGTAATTTTACAGTTAGCTGAGCAGAGAGCGAACATATATTCGGGTATGTTATTGGTGGAAAAATCGAATGGTGATAAGAAATGTCTGTTGGTTTTTTTTCATAACTGATGAGGCTCGCATTTTTGTGGTTGTTGATGGTGACACGCATTTATTCCTTTTCCTGTTGGAATTTACTGATGATCAAAATTCGCTGATTTCGTTCAGTTCTGATTTGTATTCACTTTTTTTGGTGAATCGAAGAGGTTATTACATCGGAGTTTCACGACCCGTTTTACGTGAAGTGGCGTAAAACTCGGTGAAAAACGCGATGATATTCGCGGTGGCATGCAGTAGTCGTGAAATATATTTTTCACTAGTGTTTTTCATATCACTAGGGTGAAACTCTATTGTTAAAGATACAAAAAATATTTGCCCTGCTAGTGTTGTGAGAGAGAGCGCCAATCCTATCTGCGATCTCATCAGTTATGCGGTGAGAATTTTTTTACCAAAATTTTCATATCGTCACCGACACAAGTGAGTATTTTCCCATGCAGATGTAAGTCTAAAATTCTACATAAACTCCGTTGATGAGTAAAATGAATACTTTTGCTATTTTGTCAGGTCGGTTTGCCGAATGACTCCTATAAGATCCCTCACCAACATCACGTGTAGCCTCACTGAGCTCCTATCTCTGCCCCTATTACAGTAATCACATGTGTGAAAATCAAGTGTAGTGGTAGGAGCATTTGCAGATATCGCTACGCCTCGCCGATCGATTCGGTGGCTAGAGACCCTAGGACTGGGAGGCGGCTAGGGTGGTGGAGGCAACTGTCTGAATTTGCTACGTGTTTGACGGTAACTTTCCTCGGGTTTTATGTTCTTCTGTGGTTGAGAAATTTTTCGGGAAATTTTTCCCGGTTTTCCGATTTTTTCCCGCCTATGTTGAGTAGTAAGGATTTTTCCTCTCCTGTATGGAGTATGCAGGAAATATGCGAATGGTCTACTGAGCTCGTTGATGATGGAATTTTACGGAATATAAAACTACTATAATTGAGTTTCACCCGTGATATGAAAGCCACTAGTGAAAAAAAATCACAAACGCATAGCGCGAATATAGAGCTTTTCGTAGAGTTCTACGCATATTCACGTGAAACGGGTGAAAATTTTAATGTGTGGGAAAATACGCACTTGGTCAACTTCATGTGTCCTCGAAAATTTGATGAAAATTTTGGGAAATTCTCGGTGGTTTCTATACACATATATGATTACTGAGGAAACTCCTGAGCTCAGCCGAGGAAAGCGAGCGTATATTCCTCCAACACTGAAGCGAATAATTTCTATCAGGTTGAGTCCTTGACGTCTATCGAGAGAGCTGTGTCAACCACTCAGACTGTGCTGGAAACAGCATCGCAGTTGGTGGGGACCAGTGGGGTGTCTACTACTTCCTCCTCCTCTTCATCGTCGTCGTCGAGTCATACGGCGTTGGGATGGACAGCAGTGGAGTATGTTGATGAGAAAGGTAGGGAGCTCGGGAGTGCTCTATTGGTGCCAGTGTTCGTGCGAAGGTGGAAACGTTCGGCGAATGACGCGAGATGAATCGCACTATATCACGTGAAATGTTACATGTGTTTAGTGCGTTGTTCGCAAAGTGAAATACATTGTGAAAATAGTGACACTGCAATATGAAAATTTTGGGAAATTTGTAGTGGTTTTTGTACATTTGTAGCCGATTCGAAAAAAGTGTAAATGAATGAGCTCAGCTGAGGAAAGTGAAGGTGTATTCCTTTCCTTTTCAGAGGCCAGCGGGGTGGACCGGTTGTCGTCATCTGTTGCGATTGAGGACGACTATGATGATGACGATGAGGAGGAGGAGTGGTTATCAGTTGAGCGTGGAGCGGTACGGGATAGGCTTTTCGCACCGAGTGACCGAGTGGAGCAACTTCAATTTGTGACTCAGCGATTGTCGAGAGAAATTCAGAACGCTGGAAGGGTGAGTTGGGGGAGGAGTGGTAAGGATGTGGAGCAGTTGGTTTAGGACGCCCTCATGGGTCCATTACAGGAGTATGCTCATGGTCGGGCTACAACGGAGAGTGTTGTTGTGTCAATGGCACGAGGTGGGACGTTTTAACACATTGGACGATTATGTGGTTTTTGACGTTTTTACCCATCGGACGGTTATCAGATTTCGAGAGGAATTTGACGTGATGAAATATGTGTTTGGTATCCTCAGCTGAGCTCACTAGTAACATACGAATTCGGGTAGAGAAAGTAATAAGGAATTCCCTCAAAATCTCCACGTTATCATAGACGTTACTAGTTGATCATGTGTGGTATTATCCCACGCTGAAAATTTATGGATGAACGTTTCAAGTGAGAATGAAAACGTTGCTTCTTTCAAGTATCCTGTAATCCTGTCGATAGGGTTATGGACCATAACTTATGGTTGGTTTGCTGTGGCGGTTTTTCGTATCTTACATGTATCAACCTAAGATTCCTTCTTATGGTTGTTATTAGCGGAGCGAAGCGTGACATGTTTGTGTATTTTCAGGAGTGCCTCTTTGTATTCTACGTCCAGCCGCAGGGGCAACTGAGGTGGTGTCGGCAGCGTTGAGGACGGCGACGAGCTCCCTTGATAAGGGCAAGTCGGAACGGGAACGCGAAAGGAAGTGAGCGGGCATCAATTTTTATGGGGGAAGTTTTATGCAGGACGGATGATCACGTACAGTGCGCGCCGTCCGTGTTGCGCACGTCGTTGGTTGAATTCAACTTCTGAACTTTCAAGTGAACCATTGATTTTATTATTGGTATTTTATTTATTTTATGGGTAAAATGTTAACAAAATGGGTGAAAAATTCATCTTGTCGATGAAAAATAGACTTGACCTGATACATGTGCAAAGGTAACTTCTTCCTAAAAGGCTTTTGCGAAAATTTGCAATATGAGGCTCTTCCATGTGGGCATATTGCATAAAACCTGTTGTTTTTGAAGAAAAAAATTCCATTGCATTTTTTTGCACTTGATCGGCTCTGGTGTAGAACCTGTGTAGTTGACGACAGGGCTAGGCTTGTGAGGGGGGAGGGGTTAGAATATTGTATTTCCGTGGTGATTGATGCAATACTGAAGAGGAGGGGGGAAGCGAGCTTTAGAAATCAGTGTTGGAATATATGGCCGGTGTCCTCAGGAGTTTATGCATCAACTAGGGTGGGAGTGTTCGGAAACCAATAAGAATTTCCCCGAATATTTTTCACATTCTCAGCGACAATTATATGTAGCGCATATTTTGCCCTCACACACTGGCAGCTGCAACGTGAGAATATATGTCAATACTCTTGAGCTGAGTTGGTTCGCTGAGAAACTAGGAACAGATTCCCAGAAATTGATAAGAATTCTCACATTCACCAACACATTTAGTTGACCATGTGCATATTTTCTCACACCAATGACAAGGACTGCGGTTTAGTGTAGAGGGGGGCGATGTGAAGTTGCCGCTCAGAAAGTGTGAATTACTTTTATCATTGTTATCATACCACACCTCAGGTTCAAAGGTCCGGGGGTGTTATAAGCCCTTTTACGTTTTGTGTGTAATATATGTAGCAAGATTGTTGTTGTTGCCAATTCTGAAGGCCCCCCCCATGGGGGTTCATCTTTGCATCATTTGCAAGGCATTCACGAACAGTAATATCAATTTTTTCAACCCTTTTTGTTCGTTTTATATCATCTTTTTGAGAGAAGACAGTGGAGTTGAGTTCGGGGCTACAAAGGTTGGAAGTTTCGACGATTATGTATGTGGGTGAATTTTTCCGACTTCTCGTTTTAGTGGGAGGGGTTTGTTTGTTAGCTTGCTTGGTCGTTAGGGATATATAGCCCGATGAGAGGAGATGTCTGACAAGGTAAAGTCTCTGAGGTCCGAGGGCTTCCTCGAGATATGAGCTTGCGTTTTATGTTGAGAACCGTCTTGTGTGAGGCTAACATGGGGGGGGGTTTCCTCTAAGAATAGCTCAGAAGGGTAGGGGATAGTTCTACAGGGTGGTCGCTAATATTGTGGAAGAGTTATGAGTGTCTATTGCTTGGTCCCCCTGTCCCGAGCGGTATGGAAGTAGATGGGGGTGTCCGAGGTTGAGCATGCCGCCAGTGTCATGGGCAAGGACTTGTGGCATTGTATCGTACTTGACGACACTCTACTGAGGGCCAGTCGCAAGCCTACGGTGTATGGCTGATCTGAGCCAACTGCACGGAGGAGTCTCTTGCTGTTATTAGAGGCTACTCGGGGGGCATGTATGGAGTCCTCGCTGTTGCTATTATGGAGTGCCCGGGATCCTCTAAAAGCTAGTGTGTTGCTGTTCACAAGGAGCAATTATTTCCTACTCGATCATACCTCTTTCTACTGAGGGCACCTCGGGACGCTGGCCTTCCTATTGCGCCACGGGGAAGGGTTGGTGGTGAGAGGATCAGGTGTGTGCATGCGTGCAAGGCGTGTTGGGCCGTTTGTGTGAGGCCCTTGGTCGTCATCAGCTGCACCCCCTCTGTTTCATAAACTCCTCATCGTCCCCCCAAACACCAAAAGCTCCCGACTGGTGCTTACAGCTGTGCTGGATGGGTAGTGTCGTCAACTTCAGTTTTGTGCATGCGTGCAAATGCTATGTAACGCATGCGTGTCGGCTGCGTCAAGGGATGTCGTTACGGAATATATGTGTGGTTAGCTATGTGAACTGCCAAGGTATGATGATTTGAATACCCTTGAATGGTGTATGCCATCTCCTTCACACGAGGTGCGCTGTCTGCGATCAGCCATGCGTTTTAAACATTTGCACGCATGCACAAAGATTCTCGTGCGCCGCTGGTTTCCTTGGTGATGGACGGTCCTGGGTAGTTTGGTGATAGTCGATGATGCTTTTCCAGGCTTTCTTAACTCTTTCTAATCTGTTTAATGTCATCAGTTGGCGGCTCAGTCGAGGGTGTGTACCAACATCAGGAAGATCCCGTAGGGGAAAGGGAAGCGAGCGGAGCCCCGCCGTCCTTTGTGGTGCCCCCGAGAAGAGCCACTGTGGCAATTACTACCGCTCCTATACGTCCCGATAGCGCCGACTCGGAGACCTTATCGGAAGGCGATGATGACAGGATGCGGTTGAGGTCAAATCGTCGTCCAAGTGCTCCTGCCTCTAGGATGGGTGAAGGTGGCGGTGGTGGAATGTTGATGCCGACGAGGCGTTCCACAGTAGCTGCCACCAGCAGTAGTAGCTTCCAATCCCCTAGAGGCAGGGCCAGGGCTACTTCGGGTGCCAGCGGTTCCTCCTATCCCCCAACAGACTACAACGATCCACAGCTTGCCACACGGACACTCATGGTGTATCGCTTCCCTAGGGAGGCTCAGGAGGTTGATCTAGGTAGGCCCTACCAGCCGTCGTCGTAGTCGATTCTATCGTTGTTGATGTTGTTAGCGTGTCGTTTCGGGGCTTTCGGCCCTATTGAACACGTGAAGGTTGTGTATGATCCAGTGACGCACCTCCCGCGCTGTTACGGCTTTGTCCGCTTCTGTTATCGGGAGAGTTGCATTTCGGCATTGAGGGCCTGTGAGGAGGGCAAAATAATGATGGATGACCCTTTTGGGAGAACATGTATTACTATATGTGGCCTTACCACATTTTCTCCGCATCCTCTTTGATTAGGGCACTTCGAAGCGAAGTGGGCACGTAATGCTCGTGCAGCTGGTGAGATCGATAGGAGTGGTACCGAGAAGGAACCTCAGCCGCCTCTACCTGTGCCCATTAGGGGCCATAGTGGAGATTCTTCTATCGACGAGTAAGTCGTTCGTAGTCATCAATATTAACAACACTCTCTCATAAAGGAGTCGCGGGGGGTCACTACTGCCGAGTCCAGCGAAGGATGGTAACGGCAAGTCTAGCTCTGATGAGTCCACGCACAGGCCGACGGCCCCCCAGTCAGAGGGGCCTTCTAGTGGGGCGACTCCGGGGCCGCCGGATCCCTTCGCAGCCCTTAGTGATGCTGACTTGGCCCTCATCAATGCTGCCGTAGGATAGTGTAGTGAGGTAGAGCGTAGTGTGTTGGTTTTACAGGCGTCTCCTGTGGTCACTGGGATGGTGCCGGAGGTCCATGGTTCGAATCTCGGCGACGACAACTCTGTACAAGCTCTTTCCGCCAAGGCTCTCGAAGAAGCGGAGAACCTAGCGACCTCCACTGCAGCGGCAGCGGCGGCAGCGGCAGCCATCGGGCAGGGTGGTACCACACAGGCGGAGTTGGCTAGACTCATCGAGACCGTATTCAGGGTAAGTTGTATATTCCTTTGGGAGTGGCTCATATAGTGGTGTGTGGCAGGCCGTGCGTAGTAGTGCTTTGACGCATCTTACTGGTGGTGTACTCGGACACTCAGGAGGAACTCCTCCATCACATAACGCTACAGTGATGCATGACTTCCTATCCTCTATGGTGATGGAGGAGGATGATACTCCTACTGCTGGTGGACCAGCTTCGGCCAGAGGGGCGACCAACAACAGCACTAGATAGTTTGCTGTTGCCCGCCGTGTTATGCTGTCCTCTATGGACGTATGTTATCATTTCTTATAGAACCATCATCATGATAATAATGTCTTGTAGAGAATCCGAACTCACTTGCGCTCACCTTCGTTTCTATACCAGACGTGTCTCTCCCCTTTTGACGAAGTAGTAGTAATGACCGTCTGAGTGGTTATAAAGTTGATGATGGTCACCATCCCCTCGATGTTGGCCTCGAGCGCTCCCGTTGAAGACTACGGCTGCGAATATGTTGGTCGCATGAGCCTTATGGCAATATTGTTCGGTGAATCATTCTTCGACCATGTGGTGGTATTGGTCTCATCAATCAATTTCCTGGTTACTGCCTGGTCGGCTGTCTCCTTCATCCTCGTTTTATGCTTCTTTCATTCGCGGATGTCTTGTGTTTCAATAGTCACATCACCATCACGTTAATAATAAGGCATTCATTCATCTATAAAAAAAGCACATAAGTGGCGTAGACTAGACTAGAAATTTCCAGCAGAGAAACATCCTGGCAGGACAGGTCCAGGCGAAAAAAGGAGATATTATGTAGATGAACACAACAACCAAGTAATCGTGGACAAAACCATTCAGAAAAATGTGTGAACATTACCCACAGAAAAGGGTGATGTTGTTGGTAGGGGAAGGAGATAGAGAGGATATAAAATTAATGAGAAAATCTCAAGTGTCCGTGATGGTTTTCGGGAGGGCCATTGCACTCTAACTCGCTGGGTATCATCTCGGCGAGGTAGTTGTACATCTTGTCGAAGCTGCAAGTCTCCCTAAACGATCGGGGTGGGGAACACTGGTCATATTGAGTGATGAACTTACTTTCCGCGACACTCCTCGATGGCATCCACCGACGCAACTCTACCATTGAAAAGCCAGCGGGCCTGATTGTCATCGTAGATCTCCAGAATGCGCATGGCCGCGAAGGTTGGCCAGTAGTTGGCACATTTGTGATGAGAGTCCATCCCTGAGTGCACACCGTTCAGCACAATAAACGCTGTAATACAGAGGCTCACAAGTCAAATCCAATGCGGCAGTGAAGACACTGGTCGGCCCAGTGTCGTGACCGATATAAACTGACAAACGCCTATCTGGGAGGTCTAGGTCTTCCAGAACATCCTAAGACGAGTCATGTCAGCAGAGGAGTCCATCAGAATTACTCTGATAAAAGGACCGAAAGCGAGGCGGCGAGATTCCGCGGAGGAGTTATACTGGAGCAAGTCCCAATAGGTGGCCTGGTCAGAGATTCTCTTCAGGAGAGGACTCCCAGGGCCAAGGCCATAGGGGACGTCTCGAGAGGTGCTCGGAACTGTCGAGCAAAGGTGGCTCATCAGGCAATCCTGAGGAAGATATGAATGCAGACTGGAGTGTAACGGCGGAGGCCTACCAGCATCCCGGAGTAAAGACCGTCCATCTTCTTGGGGTCGTTGGTGTTAAACTCATCGTAACGTCCACTGGTGAGGCCGATGAGCTTCCGTTCAAGCGTCGATGCATATGTCCGCTTGAGAGCCTCTGGTGACTCGAGGAAGGTATCCAAGGAATCAGCAAGGCGAGGGCACACCTATTGGAAGCACAAATAAAGACAACAGTCAGCTGGTCATGAGTAGCTCACGCGTGGTTTGGGGGTCATGGAGTCCACATCGAGATCGTCAATGACAATGTCCAGACTGTCAGGGCCGTCTGCCACGAGTGATGGAGGGAGGGACACCACAAAGGCTTACATTGCTGAATATTCGGGAACAACCCCATAGCGAGAGCCTGGGCACTGTGAATGGTGCGAGTGAACTCAGTCGAACGGAACATCACTTGGGGCTCCAGCGGTGCCTAAGAAGAAAATATTGATGGAAGCGAGCAGCGACCGACCTACTTCTCCCAGCTCCAACGGCTTGGCGTAGGCCTTCCTCAGAGCCTCCCCATTCAGCAGATGCTGCTGAATGCCCGGCTCCACAACTTGGCCTAGCCGTACGTAAGATTCCCCATGAGCTGCTGCTCAAGACAGGGCCTACCGTAGGTACAGTTGCCCTTCAACATCATCCTCTTGCCGGCCAGTCTAGTCCAACCAACACCTGTTCCCTCAGAGGGGCTGTTGATGAAGCCATAGTAGGTGGCGACTGGGCACATGTACCTGGACATATGTAGACAGACTCACAGCTGATAAGGCGACTCACTCAGTATCATCTCCTTCCCAGCAAGTGAGGTCTCTGGTCAGGACTCTTGCACCATGACGACCAAAGACAACAACACGTTCCTACAAGAGGTCCCGAGTTCGATCCCCGGTGGATCCAATAATGTACACCTACCGGCTTAGCATCGGACTTGTCTTTCCGACTGGGTATGTCCCCCCAAGTCATATCAGAGTGGCAGTAGTACAGAGGGTCCTCCTCAGGGAACAACAAGGTGTTGCTCGACCCAGCCTCAGCCATTGAGGCTGCCACTATGATCGCTCCAATGGACTTCATTTAAAATACGATGCCAATAGAAGTCATTAACCTCATCGTTGGTCCAGTCTACAGCTAGGCTAGGCTGCAGGATACTCAGCGAGCTCTGAGAGCATCGAGTTTCGCCTGAGGCTAGCGTTGGCAACTTCTCTAGTCGCAAGTTTTCATTACCGACTCGCATCTCAAAACTACTTAGTAGGTCGCGTGAGAGGTTGGCCCCGAGCCAAGGCTGAGTCTTCCCGGCTGTTCTATTCTCACAGCAACTTCCCTCACCACTAGTGAACTCAGATCAGCCAGAGAAGTAGAAACGTCACAAGTACTCGAGACTAGTATCCCGAATCTCAGAAGTTGCATAGTCTTCCGAACCTACAATGTCGGCCAACCGCTCTATATGCCGAGCCACTGCCAACAACTGCACACCGTCACACATCTTGGACCGACTTGGCATGGACGAAGATCCTTTACTAACCTGATAAGGGTGGAGTACGCTACTTCTCATAAACACTTTATATACACTCACAGATTTGCTCTGCCCACCTCCCTCGCCAACAGCACTAGCATCACCCTTAACAGCTGGTATTGATGCCTGGATGGTGACCAAACAGCGTTGTGGCACCAACGACCAGCCAACCTCTGGTGCCATAGTGGACAAGACGGGGCGTGAGGCCTAAAGGTGAGGTCATGGCCACCACCACCATTGCGGCTGTCAGGTTACCTCCTCGAGTGTGGTTGGGGTAGCGTTCTGATCTGTAGCAGGCCTCATGATCTCCCACGCCGCCTCGCCCTTCTCAGCCAACACCTGTCCATCCAGACGACCATTGAAGAGTCGACATATGCGTACAACAACTCCCTGCGGGCTGATGCCTGACAGCTTCAACAGTCAAGGAACACAGCACAGGAGCAGCTCACCTTGCCAGAGGGGTGACTGCAGACCTGTGTCACCAACGAGCTCAAAGCCACTCTGTAGGAGGAATGATCGTATGTCCACCGGCGACCCTGGACACTCAGTCACCGTTCGACCGTTCACCAGATACCTGAAGAGACAAGTAATTTCGTGGCGCGCGGTCACGAAAGAGCTCTCACTTCAGAGGAGTAGATTCCAGCGTTGAAACATGCTGGGCAAGTACCGTACCTGAAACAGCACCTGACGACAGAGATCCCGGGTTCGAACCTACGGAGGGGTATTTTGGCGCCACTGAACCGTAATATCGTCTCTTCACAACTGGACCTAACGCCCTCATTGGGAACATCGTATAGGACTTGTGCCTCTGTCTCGTGGACGGCCACGTTCATATTGCCGATGCCGTGCAGAGGCCGATACCTGAGAGATTCACCAGGTCAGTGTTGGAAAAGCATGTGTTCGCTTTCCTCAGCTGAACGCTGAAATTTCCTCACTCGTTATAAAAGTTTACTCGCGAATTCAACAGAAACCAATGAATTTCCGAGAAGAATTTTTCACATTATCATCAACACATGTAACATAGGCATACAGTATACTCACGTGAAGAGCTCAGCAACGCTCCTACACGGCGACTTGACTTCCCTCATGCCTCCTCGCGTGACCAAGTCCCGACCGAGGGCTTCCGCACAGTCACCTTTCACCAAAACAGACAATTGCAACCGCAGATGCTGAACAGGTCGCTTGGGGGCTCCCGACGTGACCCCGTCCATGAAGACAACAACACTACTGCCAATAGGGGCCCCGTGCCGCGTCGAAATCATCACACAAGGCCAACGGCGCCAATAATATACGTGTTGAGATTTTATAACACGTCTGGTCCTGGCAGTGGATGAGAATATATGCACACGTGTTGGTGAAAATATAAAAAAATTATGGAAAAAATTTTAGCAAATACATGAGGAAATTACCATTGCACATGTTTCCACCCAGAATCGTGTTCCATAATTTTGTGAGTTCAGTTGAGGTAACC